GATGATCAACCACTAAGTCACACCAGCCGGGCAAGGATTCCTTTTTATTCAATAAATGTATTGACATTCTACAGTGTATTATGTTTTATTATGTGTTAGGGTTATTGTGTGTTAGGTGCTTGGTAACCTTGATTCATGCCCTCCCAGCACATGGTAGGTTCTTGGTTAATGTTTAATGATAATGAATAATGAAATGGCCTGTAAAAGCCTTGAAACTTTGAAGTAGATTTCCACCCTGCTCTATAAAGAATTATAAAACACTTTCAAACTCTTGCATTTATGAAATGCCTAAAAAAGCATCTTCAAAACACTGTTCCTAATGTGAGAGTTGATTAATATTTGGAAGAAAAAGTAGGGGTAATTGAAATACTATGTATCTCTTTAAAAAACTTTTTTCATATGGGAAATATATATCATGTTATTTTTCTACAATAAGAAATTCCTGAAACAACTGTTTTAATTTTTATTTGTGGGATATTTTTCTTAGGGATATAAACTCATAAACTGAAAGGTTGATTTTATATGCGGTCTTTCATAGACTATTTCTCATTTAATTAAAAAGTGTCTGTGAGAAGTTAAAACTTGGATTGGAAAGGTGACTATTAGGCCTCTGAGTATTTTCTTTTTTCTCGCTTGTATTAAGATTTCTTTCATTTGTTTTACCATCTTCCTCACTCTTCCCCTCAATATATTTACTAATTTGCTCATTTCTAGTGTACACATAAAATAGTTTTGGTATTGTTTATCCATACCCTTCTGAAAAACAAATTCATTAACCAGAATGCAGTATCGTGCTCAGTTGTTTTTGCCTTTATCCTTACAAAATACTCTTTTCCAAAGTTATTTAGTTTTTGTCCTCCCTGTCTCCTATAGTGGGTTACATTCTCCATTTGTAGCTGAGTTGGGTTACTGTTTGCATTTCATTTTGGGGCTCCTCCACATTCTGGTTATTTGAACTATTTCTTCATTTTTGAGGCAACATGAAACATTGCCATGTCTAACAAAAGAGTATACTCAGAGGACTGTTACTTTTCATTCCCTTGTACTATCCCCATTGCCCCTTCTTCCGTTCCATTTCTGCCTGTCTCCTGTAGGTGACCAGTCTCATTAATTTCTGATTTACCTTGCCTCTTGTTATTGAACAAATGAGCAGATACTCAACATTTTTCTCATTTCTTTCTTGTATAAAGTGTGGACTACTCTACTTTTGTACTTTGATTTAATATATCCAGTTTATCCACTTAATATCCAGGAATCACTCCTTATCAGTCATAGAACACTTCTAATTATTTTTCGTAGCTGCCTAATACTCCATTGAGTATATGTCCCTTAGTTTATTCAACCATTCTCCAGTGTCTTGGCATTCAGGTTCTTCCCAGTACTTTGCAATTACAGATTGCTGCAATGAATAGACTTAACTGTGTGTACTTGTGTATTGTTGTGTATCTTAAGGTGAATTTACAGTAGTGGGATTGCTAGGTTAAAAGGTAAGTGCAAATGTTTTATTGTTAGGTACCACTAAATTTCCCTCCAGAAAAATTGTATCTGTGTGTACTCCCACCAATACTGTATGAGGGTGCCTGCTTCTCCACAGCCTTGCCAACAAATGTACTATCTTACTTTTTTATTTTTCCCAATCTGATGGGTGAAAATAGCATTCCTCTAATTAACGAGTGAGATTAAACACTGTTTCATATGTTTAAGGGCCATGTTTATATTTTGTTGTGTCCTTTACTTTAAAGCAGTGGTTCTCAACCTTCTGGCCCTTTAAATACAGTTCCTTTTATGGTTGTGACCCAACCATAAAATTATTTTCGTTGCTACTTCATAACTGTAATGTTGCTACTGTTATGAATCGTAATGT